GTGTGTCCCACATTTTGTCCCGCACTTTCAGCTCGGGAACCACAAAAGCTAAGCGGCTGAAATTTTGGTATAGTGTTCCCCGTCAGCGGGTGATGCGGCAAATTTAAATTCAGCCTTCCCGTTCCCGCGGATAACTTGTACGGCTGTGTGAAAGCTTTTTACGGGTAAATCAATATCTCAGGAACCACGGAGTCTAGGAGGCTGAAATTTTAGGATAATGACCCCCTGCTCACGCTCAACCTTGCCCATTCAAGTTCAGCGTTCCCGCGCTCGCGAGTATCACCTACGGGCTAGTGAAAGTTTTTACGGGTAAATTATTATCTCGGGAACCACGGGGCCTAGGAAACTGAAATTTTAGGGTAATAACTCCCTGCCCACGCCCAACCTTGCCTATTCAAATTCAGCGTTTCCTCGCTGTTGAGTATCACCTACGGCCTTATGAGAATTTTGGCGGCTAAACTATTAACTAGGGAATCACGGAAAGATTCACCCTTCAATGTTTCGAATTCAGCTTTCGTGCGCTGGTGCGCGAAATTTTTAACTATTTTTCAATTTTTGAACTGTTTTTGCATAGACTAAAGTACAGATCAGTGAAAATCAATAATAGGCAATCGTTCGATGGGCTGAATTGCACAGAACGCGTGATCGCACCGGCTAGTCTGGTGCGCGTTGCTATTTACTGATTCCTATCTTCAAACAAGCTTTCAGCTCTTCTCCAGTCGAAAACCCAGTCCCCTCTCTCTGTTACGACTTCCCGTGACCTCAGCCAACACCTCCGGTCCTTCTTTCATATTCATCCCTACCCCCTATCCCATCGTCCCTGCAGTCATCGCAGTTCTCCCTCAATCTGATCGTCAAATGGAGCGCAGTTTTAGTAATTACTTTTCGTTGCATTCACTATTTAAAATATGTATGTATATATATGCATATATAATTGATTGTGCTTTCTTCCTTTTCGTATTTCCATTACTACTTTTGTAGGGTTTTCTCCTTTCCATTTTATTTATCCACTTATTCATTGTGTTGTTTCTTCCAGGGAATGGTTCTTTATGCTGTCACATGAAGTACTCAATCCGATGTACTGCTTATTCATGTATGCGGGAGCAAATAACTATAGTTTGCAAATCAATCCAGCCTCGTTCATTAATCCGGATCATTTGAAATATTTCGAATACATTGGGCGGTTCATTGCCATGGTAATTTTTGCTGCACATGTGGTTGTTGTTCGTAAGGGGAAGCATACTGTCTACCTTGGAACTACCTGAGAATCAGGTGGTAGTCGGTGCAACTGTCACGCATTCAAAAATGTGTGTGTGATGGGGTACTTGGACCAATAATTCAAGGTTAACGCATCACGATTAAGAAATGTGGAATTATTGAAACGGGCTGCATACCTTTCCTGCTCGTTTGCTAAACCACCAACATATTTTAGCTTATTTCAATAATTCCTAAAACTGCCCACAGTTCGAAAGCTTTTTTAGGCTTTATTCCATGGGAAATTCATCTACAGTGGATTTACGATGCCTTTTTATAAAAAGATGCTCAAAAAGAAGTTGACACTAAAAGATCTGGAAAGCGTTGATGCTGAGTTCTATAACAGTTTGATGTGGATCAAGGAGAACAATATAGATGAATGTGATATGGAGCTGTATTTTGTTGCCGATTATGAATTGTTAGGCGAAATTCGTACACACGAACTCAAGGAAGGTGGAGCTGAAGTGGTAATATTTTTTGTGCACAGTGCCTTAGATAGTCGTTATTTTTTGCCTCAAAGCGCTACTTACATGGACGAACGATGGTGTACGTACGGTGGTGAGCACATTAATTGAATGTGTGGAGTAGCATGAATGCGGAAGGCAAAAAATCATCGTAAAAAATTCTCCTCTGCTGCAGTCTTTTCAGTAAGCAGGCTTATTCTCCGCATGACGGATGAGAATCTGTACTGATGATTCCCACTCCTACCTGCCATCCGCTTTTCTGCTTACAGCTATGGAAAGAAGCACAGACTTTAGTGTTTTCCTCTACATCCTTTCTTGTCCTATGCTGTAAATCGTAGTAAATGGGAAAGTTGTCAGCTGCATAGTTGGAGATCGGAAATGTAAATTAAAAGCTTAGATATTCTTCCTCGCTCAGGTTATCTCCGAAGCGACAGTGTACATACGGTTGTGAGGAAATGGATAAGTAGAGGTAGTTTAGACCAGGAAATCTCATCATGGAGGCACAGAATCGTAGCTTCGTCACAGCAAAATCGTTTCGTCTTCACATGAATAGCTTGCACGCCCGAAATGGAGAAAAGAGGGTAGAGTAGAGCTTCCAACGTAGCGACGAAGAAGGGGGGGG